GTGGTTTTGACTTGCATTTCCCTGATGATTAATGATGTTGAGCATCTTTTCATGTGCCTGTTGGCCATCTGTGTGTCTACTTTGGGAAAATGTTCAGATCCTCTGCCTATTTTTAAATCAGGTTGTTTGTTTGGTACTGAGTTGTATGAGCTTGAAAGTAACTTTCATAATCTATTCAATCCAGTATATCCAAAATGTTCTATTCAGCAGGTCCTGAATGAAGAAGGTATTAGTGAGGTGTTTTCCATTGTTGTTATTACTGATACTAAGTCTTAAAGACCCAGTGTGTATTTGGCATTCAGAGCACATCTTAGTCAGGAACGGTCCCATTTCAAGTGCTCAGCAGTCACATATGGCCAGCAGCTGAAGTGCTGGACAGGAAAGCTCTTTCTAGAAAGTAGGAGAGCATTAGCTTTGGGGATTACAGAGTCACCTTGGGGCAGGAGTTAAAAGTTACAGGTGCTGAGGTGGGGCTTTGCGTGTGGGTATTTTAAAAATAAACTCAGCAGGGGCCTCTGAGATGGAGCCAGTGTCGAGCTGTCAACTGAAGAACTCACTGCCGCAACAGCCTACTCCCTCCACACTCCAGTCTGTGAAATGGGCCCATAAGAACACCTTCTGCCCAGCCCATGAGGTCCCTCCAAAATGTTAATGCACCTGACGTTTGGTGGTCTGGCTTATTTGACAAGAATCATTCTTTTTTCTTAGTGGTGCATAAAACAGGAGCATCTTCTTGTGACAAAACGTGGCAATGCTTGCATGAGGATTAGCTGAATGAGTGTCTTAAAGTCCTTAAAGGTGCTCAGTGCATTTTGGCGGTTGTTAATATCAGGCAACTGAGGCTTTCTAGCACCAGAATTCACTGGGGAATGAATTTAGATGCAAACTCCTGGGTCCCTGAGAGGCCTGGGGAAGATTTTAACCAGATCCCCAGGTGATTCGAATGTAGGTGGCTGCACATTTTAGAACCAGTTCCAAGGGCTGACAGTGTTACTTCATAGGTTAGTTGCAAAATAGGCAATTAGGCCCAAGCGAAAAGTGCCCTGGGTTATGCCTTGGACGGGAAATTGGGGCCGCCTCCCAGGAGGCGGGGCGGAGACGGGGCGATGGCGGGGCTCACCTTGGCAGCCAGGAGATGCCACGCCTCCTCGTCCACCCGCACCAGGCGGTAGTAAAGGGCGTCCCCGCTCTCCAAGCAGGGCGAGAGGTCCAGGAGGCGGAAGCCGTGGCCGGGGCGGCAGGGGCCCGGGCGGCCCCCCAGGAGCCGGGCCTGGAGCCGGACGTGCATGCCGCGAAGGCTCTCCAGCTGCCGGGCCTCCAGCGCCGCGTGCACGGCCTCTGGGCGGTGTAGGTCGTGAAAGGAGAGGCCCAGCTCAGGGTCCAGTGAGCAGAAGGGCAGTTCTTCAGGGGGACAGGCTGGCCCCACCCTGTCGTCGCCTGCCTGGCTCTTGTCCACACTGTGGGATCCCAGGAGGGGCTTCTGAGTCTCCCCTGCTTGAGTGGGGCTGGGTCTGGGGGCCTTGTGGGTGGGCAGCGACTGGGCCCTGGTCAGGGTCTTCTTGGGCAGGGGTGGGGGCAGGGGCTGCGGGTCAGTCGAGAGGGCCTCAAATGTTCGGGGGCGGCAGGCCTTGGAGGGCAGCAGGTGGGCACGGACCTCACCTATAGGGGGAGGGAGTGGGGGAGGGGAGTGAGGACTCACGGAATGGGGGGTCCTGGGCACATCATCTCTGAAATGGAAAAGACACCAAACCCCAACCCCCAGCTACCCTGTGCCCTGTGGGGTAGGGGTGCCATCTGATTTACAGATGAGGAAACAAAGGCTCAGAGGAGCGACCAGTCAGTGGCAGAGAAGCCTCCGGTCCAGCACAGGCGACTCCCACCTCCTGTGTGGCTCTGGGCAGGTGACAGAACCTCTCTGAACTCTAGTTTCCTCACTTTTACAAGCTGGTGATCCAGTTTTTTTTTTTTTAGGAGTTTTATTAAAGATAGTTTAAAAGCTGCTTTAGTTGAATTAAAAGGTCATGGGGCAGAGTGTTCCCTAGACGGTAATGAGAAACTCAGCCTTTCAGCTCTAACCACCCTTCCCACCCAGGACCCCTCCCCAGCGCTCACCAAGGTTGCCATACGTGGGCTGAGTCTGCCAGGTGGGGGCGTTGGGCCCGGGGGTCTCGGTGGGTGGCTCCAGGCTGCTCATGCTTCTGGGGGAAGGTCGGAGTTGGGGGCACGTGTGGGTGGGGCCTAGACTTGACCCTGCTGTGTGGCCCCAGGACGGTTGCTTGACCTCTCTGGGTGAATATCACCCACTGACCTTTTAGTGGGAAAGACCCTGTACTTTTGTGACATGGACAGAATGTCCAGCTATGAGGGCAAGACCTTGGGGGGAACAGCTGGGGGATCCTGCGCTTGGACCTTGTCCCCAGAGTTCAGCCCCCTCAAGCCGTTGCCAACAGCGCCTGGCTTGCAGTCCTGCCCCACCCGGATTCTAGGTCAGCCCAACCTCAAGAAGCAGTGCTTCCGCCCATACCCTGCCTCAGCCCCCTCCAGGAGTGCCTTACCTTCAGGCCTGAGCGACCTCCGGGCAGAGGGGCCTTGGGGACAGACTCCCAATAGCTGCAGGCCCTGGCCTCCTGGACCGTCTGACTGGCGGCTGGCAGTGAACCGGAAACGCCCAGGCAACTGTTAGACCGCAGACCTGGGGGAGGAGGGGTAGCAGGGCAGGGGGTTCCGCACTACTTCCCCACGTCCGCTTCCCTGTTCCAGGGCTGGAAGCAGGGTAGGGGGAGATGGGGAAGACGGGCTGAGGTCCCAAAGGTGACAAGAGGTGGGCAGCAGAGGGGAGCCTGAGAGACTGAGGAAAGGGAGACATTTTAGACCTCCCACCTTTGGGGTGGGCAGGGAACCCCAGAAATGACTGTTTAGGGAGAAACTTAAGCAGGTGACCCTTTCCTCTGTGGCTTTCATTACCTTCACAGCCCGACCCACTGAGAAGCCCCCAGTGTGCCCTCTACCCCATCTCCTGCCCCTCCCAGGACCCTTGCACTGGAGCGATTTGATCCCCACACTCTGGGCAGGTTCTTCCTTTTGAGCTCCAGCTCTGCTCTGACATGCTGTGCTGTGTCACACTGGGCAAATCACCACCCTCTCTGTTCCAGCAATTAAAGAAAAGTGGCTCCTGCTTTCTGCCTCCCGACAGCCAAACTAGCTGGATTTGTCTTTAAAAATTTAATTGACTCACTTCCCTCCCCCAACTACCTTAATGCATTTATTTAGAAAAAGACATTTGGGTTTTTTTGGGGGGAAGGGTGGGTAATTAGGTTGGTTTGTTTGTATATTTAAATGGAGGTACTGGGTACTGAACCCAGGACCTCGGGCATGCTAGGCATGCACTCTACCACTGAGCAGCACTGCCCCCAGGAAAGACATTTGATAGAGATTTCCATACATAGAAAATCAAGAATGCTGAACATCCAGGGAGAACCAGCCGGTGAAATTCTCACCTAAGCACAGGCCTGTCACAGCAGTCTGGGGGCTTGAGGCTTGCCCTGCTGGCCTGGAGGCATGAGAGGTGTCTCAGCTGCAAACCCAGCCTCTCCCCCTTGTAATGAAAGAACCAAGAAATCACTGCAGATGCAAAGATACAAAGACATGTCTGCTTTGTAGTTTGAGCATCTTTCACGCTGGAGTTCTCCCCTTGCCCCGTCTCATTTTCCTTAGGGGCAGTGAGCCCAGAGAGGGCAGGAGTCCACACAGGTCACACAGCAGGTCCAGACTGGACCACGGGCCATTGCTGGGTGCCCCTGGGTTTGGGGAAGGAGATGAACCCATCTCATGGGGTCCTCTAAGCGGGTCTCCTGCCACATCTTGGGCAACACAGACTGCTGACCTCCTGAGGCATCTCCCACTTGAGGGTCTATAATTTGATCCGATACTTTAATGCTTCCAGCTCACAGCTTTTATCATTCACAGAATGTACACACTCTGTCCTTAATCCATGGGGCAGCCTATGATTTTGACAAATTTCGAAATCGTGCAATGGGAGGATGGTGGCTTGAGGAAGATTCTGCAAATTATACAAGACAGGGATTCCACAAACCCTGGGCTGTTCCAGGTGGAACAGAAGGGGCTGGAGGTGCTGAGGAAGTGTCCTCCTCACCGCTCAGTCCCCTACTGGCCATGAGATCTTATTCTCCCCTTTGTGAGACCCTTCGGGGTCACCCAGCTGGGCTGTGGCTCTCATCCTGGATTAATTGGGGTGAAGCATGCAAGGCACTTGTCGCACCAAATTTAAGATGATGCCAAAAAGCAAAACAAAACAACAAAAACCACCCTTCATTGATCAAGATAAATAAAGTTTTAATGTATCAAGATAAATAACATTTCAATGTAACATTAAAAAAAAATCTTATTTGCAAACTATGGCCCATGGGCTGGCTGGCTGTTTTTGTAAATAAAGTTTTATTGGAACCCAGGCCAGGATTAGGGTGTGGAGAGGGGAGGTAGGGTCGTGCCAGGGCAGGTATCTGTCTTTATTTAAAAGGTTGATATTTTCGTCCACCGTGGGGTGTGAATCAATTTGGTTTGTAGAATATTGCTCTTGGTGATGGAGTGCTGGGCTCCCCCTCAGATTTTGTGCCCCAGGTCAGTGCCTTGCTCACCTCACCCTGGGCAGAGTGGGGACTGGGCAGAGGCTCCAGACTGGGACAAGCAGTGACATCCCAGGGACTTCTCCACCTAGGACGGGCAGGGCTGGGGGCAGCTGGTGCCTAGGGACCCCCTGCCTGCCTCAAGACGGCCCCCCTTGGAGTGGTCAGAGTAGGGGCCCTTTGTGAGGGAGGAGAGTGGTTGCTCAGCACCCCTACGTGCCCAGCACCCCACTGAGCCCCAAAGGACAGTCCTCCCCGAGGCCCAGAAATGGGCCTGCTTGCCTCAGCTAACCCTAAAAAGTGCCCGTGTGTGTGTCGCCCCTGGATTGGCCCTGTCCTACCACCCCGCCCCAGGGCCAGGCCCTCTGTAGGCCTGAAAACTGTTCTTTCATTCGAGAAGCGTTTGGAGCACTGCAGGAGCTGGGGCCGGGCTCTCTGCATTGCCCGCGTGGCCCGCACTGCCCAGAGTGGTGCTCCGGGTGCCAGAGGCTCACAGATTTCAGACTTGGCATCTCTAAGAAAAATTCCTCAGCTTTTTTGGCACGTACAATTCTAGTCCCCAAAGATGTCCTTGTCCAGAACCTGGGAATATGTCATGCAGCGTGGCGGGGGCGCTCAGGTGCTGATTAGATGAGGACTCGGGGGGGGGACCCTGGGTTCCCCGGGGGCCCTGTGTCCTCACAGGGTCCTCATCAGAGGGAGGCGGGAGGTCAGAGTCAGAGAGAGACGGGAGGTGCTGCGCTGCTGGCGGTGAGGATGGAGGGGGGGCCATGAGCCAGGGGTGCGGAGCCTCTAGAAGCTGGAAGCCTGGAGCCTCTGGGAGGAACCAGCTGCCGGTTCCTTTTAGACTTCTGACGTCCGGGAGTGCTGAGTAACAACCCCCCGCTGTTGTAAGTGGCAAGGTTTTGTTAGAGCAGCCATAGGAAGCTCATGCAGTTAGTCCTCTGCATAAAAGAGGACCATAATTCTCCAGTTTATAGATGAGCACATGGCACAGAGAGGGGCAGCGACTTCCCCTGGGCCACACAGCACTGGGGCCACAGACACCCCTCTGAGGAGCCCCGCCTTGGGTTCCTGGCCACCAATGGGACGGGTCCCCCTTCAGCTGCCCTTGGCTGTCCAAAGAAGGAAGACCCCCTCAGCTGCATCCTAAGAATAAGACAGGATTTAGGAAATCCTGGATCTTGTACCTAGTCTGAACCAGGGATGCAGGCAGCCCCTGTGGATGGGGAAACCAAGGCCCATGAGGCAATCATCCTCCTCCCTCTGCTGCAGGAAGAATAGGGGAAATGAAGCCTCTCAGAAGGGTGCCACAGCCCAGCACCCCCAACCTCAGTTTCTTTGAAATCAGGTGCCGAGAGGTTGCCCCACAGCCCCCGACACGTCTTGATCCTGCTTCTGTTTCTGGCTGCTCTGACTCCATCCACCTCCCTGCAAAAAGAGCACAAGCCTCCAGGGACCAGTAGGGTTTGAGCCCCGACTCTGGGCTCTGTACTCTGCTTTTCCCATCCATCGGGAGTGGGTGGGAGAGACCCCACAGCCCTGGGGGAGGAAGCTGCCAGCACTAGGGGCACAGCAAGGAGGGTGTGGGTCTGCAGCTTATTTCTCCTTTCCTCCCTGCCGCCAGCTCTGCCACTGGTCCCAGCTTAGGGCAAGAGTTTCCCTGACAGCCCAGCTCCACTGGTCCCTCTCAGCACTCCGCCTCTCCCCAGCTGGGGATTCTGGGCAGCCTTTGACCTTCTCTTTGCCTGTCTGTAAAATGGGATCATAACAGGACCCAGCTCACAGGGTCATCATCACTATGGAAGGAGTCAATACAGGCAGTACAGGGAACAGCACTGGGAACAGCATGGGCACTCCTGAAGTGTGACCTCTAATGTTATCACATGGGTCATTCTCTGCAAACGCCCCGTGATTCACGGCTTGCTTTGGGGCTGGAGCTAGGCAGCTCCCCCAGGGACCACAGCATCCGTACTTCCTGTCCCGACTCTTCCCATGAGAATTAAAAAAAACAAACCCTGAAGTTTGTTATTAAATTGGTTTCATTTTTATTGGATTCCAACCAAATACAGCAGGATGGAGGTGGGGGGAGATGGGGTTCTTGGTTCATGTTGGGACAGGGGCCAGTGGAGGGGACTGGAAGGTCCCAATATGCTGACGTTCTGTAAGTCCTAACACTGCCGAGAACATATCCCCTCCTGTCTTGATGATGCTAAAGGCACTTGGATGTCGTTTTGAGGGGCCCTCAGGGTTGTTATGGTAACCAAGGTCAGGAGGATGCTAAGGGAAAAAAACCAGCCCATTCTGTTTGACTCAGGTGGAGTATGGCTGGTCACCCCCTTCTGCCATCACTTGCTGCCATGGATGGGGCTTAGGCAGAGCGCACATCGTGGGGCAGGACCATGGACCTCCCACCTCCCAGTGTTTCCAGCCCGGGGAGAATGGCCAGTGGAACTTCCAAGTCCTGTCTGAAGCTTTTGCTCAAAAAACCTCCAGAGGTGACAGCTTTCTCTGTGGCTTATCTCAGAAAGACCTTGAGGGATCCAGAATCCAAGTCAGTCATCGAGCTTGTATGTAGCAATAGGTTTGGCCCTCAGACCCAACCAGCCATGGTCCAGGTGGTCCTCAGTCGCCAACCAAGATTACACAGCTGGGTGGGAACAGAGCTGGCTTTGAGCCTTTCTACAAGGTCCTTGAGCACACCGTCTAACCTCCTGGCTGGCAGCCAAGCTCCTTTCTGGCCGAGGCCTGCCCCCACAATATGTCCTGTGCTCCTTCCCCCTCAGTGATGCCCTATGTTGTCTGGCCGAGGTAGAGAATGGGTTGGCGGGGCAAGGACCAGGCTGGGATAGGCAGGGTCGTGGATGGTCCCTGTCTGGGGTCTGAATACGTCTGCAAAACTTCAGCTCCTGCTTGCATGCCCACAGTGACGGGGAACTCACTATCTGTAGAGCAACAGGGCAGTGACCCTGGGGAATCTCCTCTTTCACCTGAGCTATCGTCTGCCTGTGACCCCCCCTACTCTTTGGCCCTAGATCTGCCCCAAACTTGCAGAGACCAAGGTTCCTCTGTCATTTCTCCCAACAACCCAGGTCCAGGTCTCCCTGTAGCTTGAACCCTGTCATGGACTTGCTGCCCATCGCTGGCCCTGCAGTGCATGCAACAGGGACCCTGAGAACCTTCCACACTCCGGTCTCCTTCCTGAGGTGGGCAATGGGCCCGGGGTCTGGGTGGGGTGGGACCCCACTCAGGCTTATCTGAGGCTGGCAAAGGGGTGGTGCAGACTCAGGATTGAAGGTCACCCCACTGGTCTGCTGGAGAGGGACGCCCTGGAAGCCATGTTCCTGGGCCAGGGGCCAGGATGGCTGGCCCTCCTGTGTGCTGAGGACGTGGGAAGCAAGTGGCAGCTCTGAGGAGCGGTGGGAGGAGCTGGGGAGATGGCTTCTCCTAGTGGGCGACCCGCCTGCTGGGCCAGTGGGTCCTGCTGGGAGGGAGTCTGAGTGCGGGTGCCTGGGCCAGGGGGCAGGGACCACCCTGCGTTCTGGGTGCCCTCAGGGTGAGCCTGACCTGCTCAGGGAGACCTCAGCCTAGACCCTGAGATCTGCCCTGAGATGACCAGCTGAGGGTCCTGGGTGTGAACTGTGTGTCCCGGGTGTGGGCTGAGTGTGTCCCAGGTATGAGCTGCCTGTCCCAGGTGGGGGCTGTGCTCTCCGAGAGCCCTGCCTGCCATGTGAGCTCTGGAGCTCGGGGCGCGTGCCTAGTGTCAGCTGGGTGTGAGGTGTGTGTGTTCTGCTCTGGAGCTGTGTGTCTGGTTGGGTGTCTCAGGTGTGGAGAGTGGGGTGTCCAGGGATGAACAGCGGGGGCTTTCACGTCCCCTGGCCTGGGGGCTGGGTGGCCCTCTGTGGAGTCCTGGGTGTACACCATCTCCTCCAGGAGTAAGCTGTGTATGTGGTGAGGATCCAGGGTCTCTGAGCCCCCTCCCCTCCCCTGCCTAGCTCAGCGACCACACCAGGGGCAGGAAGACAGGGTGAAACCCTTAGAAAACTCTTGAGAAACTCTGCAAAAGATGCTTCCTGATGAAAAAACAGTCCTGTGGTCGGGTCTCTACAAAAAAGGGGAAGTTCTGCCAGGAGCCAGCTTGCGGCCGCCCCCTGCGGGAAATGCATAGGTGGTCGTGGTCGTCAGACGCGCCAGCAACGGGCTGGCGTGGACGTGGACCTGGACGGAGTCGGAGACGCAGCTTCCAGCCCAGCTCCAGCGGCAAGGGCTGCAGGAGGTCGGCCCGGGCCGCTCAGATCATCTTCATGTTGAACTTGCGGGCGCCTCCCTGGCCGGCAGCCGCCGCGGGCCCGTCCACCTTGCGGAAAGAGTACTCCACGGAGAAGTTGTTCTTGTGCTGCCCGCGGCCGCGGCTCCACACGAAGAGCAGCAGGAAACAGAAGAGGACGACGCCCAGGAAGGTGATGCAGCCCATGGCGGTGGACACCAGGATGGTGGTGAGGTCCAGCGGGAAGCGCGCGGCCGCCTCCGTGTCGTTGCGGCCCTCGCCCGGGGTCCGGTTGGCGGCCGGCTCCGGCTGCACGCTCAGCGTGGCGAAGTAGGTGTCGTTGCCGCCCGCGTTGCTGGCCACACACGTGTAGGTGCCGCTGTCCTGCGGCCGCGCGTCCCGGATCTGCAGCGTGCCACCCGGCAGCACGCGCGCCCGGCCGGCGCTGGCGGCGGTGACCGCGCGGTGCCGGGGTGTCACCCAGGCCACGGTGGGCGCCGGCTCGCCCTCGGCGCGGCACTGGAAGCGCACGTCGTCGCCCGCGGCCGCCGTGACGTGCTGCAGCCGCCGCTCGCGGATCTTGGGCTTGCGGCACACGAAGTACTCGAAGAGCACCGAGTCCGGCAGGTTGCGCAGAGCGTCGCCGCGGACCTCCGCTGGGGTGGCGCAGGCCGGCAGGCGGCCGTCGAAGTTAAGGGTCTTGCGGCGCTGCACGATCCAGAGCAGGCGACAGTCACAGGCCAGCGGGTTCCCGTCCACGCGCAGCGTCTCCAGGGTGTTGACCGAGTGGAAGGTGCTCTCCTCCAGCGTGGACAGCAGGTTGTTGGAAAGGTTGAGCAGGCGGATCTGCCGCAGCCCCAGGAAGGCCTGCGGCTCCACCACCGCCAGCAGGGCCCCGGCCAGGTGCAACTCGCGCAGGCGCACCAGGTCGCGGAAGGACCCACGCGGCACCGTGCTGATGGGGTTGTGCGACAGGTTGAGGCAGGTGAGGTGGGCCTGGTGGCGCAGAGCGGCGGCCGGCACGGCGGTGATGTTGGTGTGGGTGACGGACAGCGAAGTCAGGTTGAGACCCCGCAGGCTGCCGGCGGCCACCTCCTCCAGCAGCGGCCAGTTGTCAATCTCCAGGTGCAGCAGGCCCGGAAGCCGCTGGAAGTTCTGGTCCTCCAGGGCGGCGATGGCCAGGTGCCGCAGCCGCAGGGCGCCCAGGCCCCGCAGGTGGCCCAGCGACTCGCCCGAGAGCGCCGTCAGGTTGCAGCGCTCCAGGGTCAACTCCTCGAGCGCTAGCAGCCCGGCGAAGGCCCGGCGCGAGATGAACACCAGGTCGTTGTCGCCCACCTCCAGCCGGCGGAGGCTGCGCAGGTCCTGGAAGGCGTAGTCCAGGAGGATGACCAGCTTGTTCTCGCTCAGGTCCAGCACCGTGAGGTTGTCCAGGCGCGTGAAGACCCCGGGCGGGATGAGCTTGAGCAGGTTGCCGCGGAGGCGCAGCACGCGCAGGCGCGGCAGGTTGGCGAAGGCGCCCGGCTCCACGTGCGCGATCACGTTCTCGCTCAGGTCCAGCTCCT